ATGACTTTGATTGAAGCCATTGAATCATTAAAACAAATTGATTCAGTATTTTTTTATGCTCCGTATTCGGATATAATTGCTGAAATAGGAGAACAAGAACACGATTACCTTGTTAATTTATGTGAAACTGAAAATAGACTTCTACATAGTCTAAGAAAATCTCTTGTAGAACTTGATAAACACACAGTTACACTTAGTATATATAATAAAAAAGACACAGCAATACGAGATCTTTCAAAAGAAACTGGTTCATATTTACTTTTTCAATTATTCATACATTTATTAAAAAATATGCCAAAAACAGCTCAAGCAAAAAAAGATATGATTACAGTTTGTCGAAATTATTATCGTGGAAATTTAACTGAATTAAAAAATATTGATGATTTTGATCAAACATATAAATCAGTTGATGCTATTCCATGGTTTACCAAAAGAACTTTTGTGGATAAGTAAGTTTATTCAAAAAAAGAAAGAAAGAAATGCAAGTTTATTTTTCACAAATATTTTTTCTTTTATTTTAATTTTTTAGATTTATTAATAAGGCACTTCGTACAGAAGATATTGAAGTATTGTATCAATGTCGTTTTTATATAATGGATTTAAGTGAACAACTTGAAATAAAATTTTTAGAACAAAAAAAAAAACAAAAAGATGTTCTTAAAATTTATCGTGGTTTAAAATTAAGTCATGATGAATTAGTAAATTTTCAAAATAGTATTGGAAATTTAATTGCAACAAATGAATATTTATTAACAAGTAGTGAACGTTCAGTTGCGTACAATTTTGCAACAAAATCTGCTAAGAACGAAGATGTTGTACGTGCTTTATTCGAATACCATGTTGATTTAAATGTTGTTCAAAAAATTGTTATTGCTGATATTCGAGAATATTCAGCATTTCCAGAAGAAGCTGAAGTTTTAGTTGATGTCGGTAAGAAAAGTTCAATGTAAATCGTTAAAGATAAATATTTACAAACCAAGAAGCACAAATCATAACACAAACTGTTAGAATATTTCTATATCAACATCGTTTTCTAACACAACTTTGATCTTATTGTCTGATCTATTGCCATACTTGCATTGAGATTAGCATAGTATTAGTTGTTTATTATGATATCCAACATGTAGTTAGCTAGGAAGGGGTTCTTTCATACCCGATCAGATCCGAGTGCACAAAGACTTGAACACAAAGCTTCCTATCAACGTGTCTTATTACAATGTCTGAATAATGTAATTATTGAAAATTCAAAAAATCGTTTATCAATCTATGAGAAAAGAACCATCGTCAAGTAATTTTTGATTATGGATTTTTTCAGATATTATCCAAGTAGGATAATGTTAAAGTTCTATGAAATGCAATATTTCAGTTTTCAATCTTGAGAATACGTTTATCAGTGTTATCGGTATATAATAGTTCATGCATCGTCAAATAATTTGATACATAAGAAATAGCTTTAAGAGAGTTTTGATTATGATATGTATTTAAGAATTTTTTTGTTGAATAATCTAATTATCTTGATATATTACGAAAGAAATCCGTATTTTTCTTTTATAGGAGCAGTATTTCAAATTGATTCTTGTGAGTATAATGCCGAAGATGATTTATGGCATATTCAAATGCATGCAACTGATCAAGGAGCTGATTCAGCTGCTGAATATGTCGAATACCAAAAGAAAAAAATGGCTGAATCTAATATAAGTCTAATGTTTGGTAATTTACTTCTTGAAAATGGTGAATATGCTAAAGCAGAAAGATATTTTGATACTATTCTCAATTGTTCAAATCCTAATGATGAAGAAATTGCTTGTATCTTTTTTAATTTTGGTCGTACACATCGATTAAAAGGTGATTTTAATCGTGCAATAAAATGTTATAATCGTGCATATAATTTACATATGAGTGCTCGACCAAAACGTTTAGCGAGTGCCGGAAAAACTTTAAATGGTCTTGGTGTTGTTTATAGTGAACAAGGACGACAACTAAGAGCTGAAGAATTTTTTCAACGAGCTATGAAATTATATAAAAAAAGTATTCCAAAAAACCATGTTGATGTTGCTGGAACATTAATTAATTTGGGTACTCTAGATTATGATCGACAAGACGTAAGATAAAAAAAACGACCCTACCGCATAAGGTGATCCATTCAGAACTGAGAAATCAAATATACCATGTTGTAGAGCAAGACAAGGTGCGTCGAATCATATATAATAAATCTTATTTTCATGAGGTTTTGAAGGAACTAGATTCAAACAAATTACTAGTAGATGATTAAGGATCAAAAGCATCATCAGTAAGTGATCATTATCGGGCTACTACGACCTCGTATGCGGTAACATCTTCGATCATTCTATCTTTGATAGGAAACAATTCAAATTTTTGATGATCGACCATCGTTTTTCATGGCTAGTTGTTAATGGTGAGTTTTCGTGTGTTCAATCGTACCAATTACAAAAGATATATCCACTCGTCAAACTTTCCTAAAAATTGTCCACGATGTAGCACTACAAAATTCACTATTCAGAAGTTCTTCAAAATTTGTGCGTCATGCTCAAAACTGCCTTGTATTGACAAATCTAGAACAATTTTTGAATCATTTTGCTCGATTTATACTTTGTTTCAATATTCGGAGTCGCCGTAAAAAGTTGTATCAAACAGACTATATTTCGTCTAATTTTTTTTGTCCACCAAAAATGGACCCCTGGAGAATCACAGGACAAACTTCGAGAAAATATGACTGAGAAGCGGTACAGGTCAATTTTTGATGAAAAAAAAATTTAGACGAAAGATAGGCTATTTGATGCAATTTTTCATGCTGATTCTGAATATCATATTTATTTTATATGCGAATGAAGTTTTGATACTCAGAATATTGAAACAAAGTATAAAAACGGGAAAAATGATTCAAAAATGATTCTAGATTGGTCAATGTAAGGCAGATTTGAGCATGACGTACAAATTTTGAAGAACTTCCAAATAGTGCATTTTGTAGTCCTACATCGTGAGCAATTTCTGAAAAAAATTGGCGAGTGCATACATCTTCTGTGGTTGATACGATTAAACACACGAAAACTCACTATTAGTAACTAGCCGTGAAAAACGATGGTCAATCATAATAAAATTGTATTGTTTCCTATCAAAGATAGAACGATTGAAGATGATAACCATACGAGATTGTAGCCCATTGAAAGCTTTACAAAATTGCCTATAAAGAAAATTTTGTTTACAAACACTTTTCACTGATACCAAGTCCAACAATGATCACTTACTGATAATGCTTAGCCGTCTACCAGTAATTTGACTCTAGTTTGTTCAAAATCTCATGAAAATAAGATTTATTATATATCATTCGATGTGTCTCGTCTTGCTCTACAACGTGATATATTCGGTGTCTCAGTTCTGAATGGATCATCTTATCCGACAAGGTGCTTTCAAATAAATCTAAAACTTTTCTTTTCTTTCATCTAGTATGATCAAGCAGCATTTAAATATCTTAAAGCTAAAAAAATTTATGATAGTTCTCTTCCACCAGGTCATCCAAATCATGCATTACCAAGAGTTAATTTAGGTAATGTTTATTTAGCTACTGAAGATTATACAAAAGCTTGTGAAGAATATGAAGTAGCGTTGAAATTACAACAAATATCATTACCAAGTAATCATCCAGAAATAGCTCATACATTACATAATCTTGCAATTGTTAAAACACATCTTGGAAATGTTGAGCAAGCTAAACAATGTTTAGAATGAGTATAAGAAATAATTGCTCATACATTATCAGAGAAACATCTAGTTATGGTTTTACTTAGTAAAAAAAAACCTTCATGTCAGACGAAATTGGAGGATATATTTAAACGCGGGATTAACAGACAATATTTATTTTTGTATTGTAACGGTTTTTCTTTTTCTTTTCCTCTTTTTGTTTATTAACATGAACTATTCGAAATAAAATACTCTGAATTTGATATTTTATTGAACAACAGTCACTATCTTTATATGAAAAAATGAATAAATTTCATTTTTAAATATTTACATTATTCCCTTTTCTTAAAGAAAGAGTCTTACATTTGGAAAATATATGTGTGTTTGTCTGTCTGTCCAAGCCAATCAGGAATGAGCTTTACTATTTTTCGGTTTTCGATCACTCTAATAGAACTTTGCTATAGATTATCGAGGGCCAGGATGAGTGTGAGAGAAAGCCACACAAACCCACATCCCATCTAATGCATCATGGTACTGCAAATCACATATAAAAAGTGTTGTTATTAAATTTTTCAAAGAAGAAAGAATTTAAAGATATAGTCTGTCAGACATATTCAACTGGCGTCGCTTCGTCTGAGCCTCTGTTATTCAACTATTTTAAAACATAAATTAAATATCTACCTAGATGCAATAAATTTAACTAAGCAATAATCGAGTAATTAGTTTGATACATTTTGATGAATACAAAAATATTATTCAAAAGTAAATCGAACTTGCTATTGAACATTGTTATGATGTCTTCTAACCTTTGCTGTAGACAAAGAAATATAATGTACTTCTTATCAAAGTGATGTTACTAGTTCTCAGAACTTTTTGACTGCCCTATGTAGATCACTCTTCTAACGTAGCTTAATGAAGGAAACATTTGTAAATCTCTTTTAAAGAAATTTCACAAACTCAAAATTAACTTAACCACTTGAAAGTGCTTTTATTTTGAACTTGTTTCTACTGAAGCGCTCGATACAGTTCTTCCGATATCTTTGTTTTGTTCGATTACTCAAAATTTTGATAAGTATCGACAGATCGAAAACTTCTCGAAGAATCGAACATAGATCTTCGATAGGACAATTTTCGAGTGCTCGAAATCCGATGACTGCAAAAGAGCTCGAAATCAAAACAGAACAAATAAAAAAATATATATTTCATATTTTTAAGCGCTCGTCACACCCATTGTATACTTTTTATTATCTGCTTGGGTATAATTTGAAAAATTTTCGTACAATTTCAATAAATATTCAAATTCAATCTCCAAGTATCTTATTAAAATATTGTCGAAATGATGTTAAAACATAAGATAGTGTATTTCTATGTTTCATTTTCAAGATATCACTATTCAATGGAAGTATTTTTTTTGTTTCTCGATTAATCCAAATTCGAATAAGAGATGGTTGTCTTGGATGTCTTGTGATAATATGTGTTGACGATAAATAATATTGTAACCATTGAACAAGTTCATTTTTTGAAGATGAAAAATTTCGAAAAAATTCTTTATCATCTTCACATTCAAAAATTAACAATCGAAGTTTTGACATATGTCGAATAAGATCAAGAATATTAATTCGATGTTTAATACGAATTGAAAGAATTTCACATTGAATTCCAAGTATTGAATTAATTAAAGTAAAACAATCTTCTTTTGTATAATATATTGATCGATTAAATAAAATATTAATTAAATCAATTCGTCGAATTGATTTACTTGTTGTTAATTCAAATAATTTTATAGATGAATCAATAAATGATTGAAGTTTTAATGAATAAAGACAAGAGGCTTGATCAAATAATGTTTGTAATTGATAATAATCAGAATATTTATAAATATATACATGAAGTGATTTTAAATGATTTAATGATGGAAAACGTGACCAAAATGTATTATCAAATGAAAGATTTATCTGAAGATGATGAATATTACGAAAACGAGCACGTAAAAGACTAAAATTATCTAATAAAGTATTTTCAACATTTCCATGACCATAAATTTTTACATGATCATATGACCAATGTTGTTGTTCATCATAACAAGTTGATTTAGTACACGACTTATTTGAATAATCAAATGTATCAAAACTATAAGGTAATGTATAAAGTGTAATCCATTTATATGGATCTGATGGATTCCAATGACATCGAACATACCATTGATGTTCTTGTAGCCAAAATGGAGTTCGAAATGATGAAAGTAATTCATCAATAGTTTCTTCGATAGTATTATTATTCTCTCGAAATTCTAATTCCATTTTTAAATCAAATCTTTTAATCTTAGGTAAATACGTGGAAATAAGTTGTTCCCATATATTTCCATCTAAATAAACTTGTAATGTTGTAATTATTAAACGAGATAGATTAGGCATATTTTCTAATAGATTATTCATTGATTGAATTGAACCTCCAAAATAAAGTTTTATTGATTCTATTGATGGCATGATATTTGTTAAATGATCATTTCTAGAATAAGAATATAGAGTTGTACAAAATTGTTGAAGACGAGGTGTAAATTTGAACAGATGAGATAAACAATTTAAATTACACGGAATATTCTCGATAGAAAGATATTCGATAGATGATGAAATTATAGAGATATTCAACAACCGTATTTCATTTGTCTGAAGACCATTTAAATTACAATGTGTAAGTGTTGATAAACTCCAAATGTTATTCAGCAAATCGACAATATTTTCTTGTCTTTCTTCATCGTCATATTTAACTATATTGAGATGAGTAAGATGAGGAAGATATCGACATTGATATATTATTTTATATAATGTATCGAAATGATTAATACGGTATAATGACAAGGATTGTAAACAAATAAATCGATTGAGAGTAAAACCACGAGATAGAAGAAGTTCAGGTAAACCAGGTGTTTCATCGGACGAAAGACGAAGTGAAATAACTTGATCAATAATTAATGGAAGAAGTTTCTCAGAAATATTATCGAAAATTTCTTTCGATAAAGATTTTAAATTAAGTTGATGAACTTGAAAATGATAGTTAAGTAGTTTGTTAAAACGAGAATTTAGTCCAATAAAGGCTTGAAGTAGATGAGTAGTATCAAAGAATTCAAATAAATCAAGTAATAATTCATTTGCTAATGATTCAAGTTGTACCATTTCTTTTTTTTTGGCAAGAACAAAACAAAAGGACCGTCTCAAGCACTCTTACTTTTAGTGTAGAAGAACAGAGAATGTGATGGTTTTATCGTTTTTTAACAAATTTTTACACTGCCTAACCATTCATCTGTGACGCTACTTTTCTTTTCTTTCTTTGATAATGATTCTCGCCATAAAAAGAAAAAAAATCAATATTGTTTCTTTTTTTTTGTAATATCAACGTGTCGCATGTTGAAATCACTATTATTGTTGGCCATAAAAACAAATGATTTACAGTCGAATAATTGAAATAAGTTGAACAAATCATAGAAGATACCTTCGTAATATATCATTTGTAAATAATGGAACAAAAAACAAACACAATCATCTTTGAAATCGAACAAGAAAGAAAAGAATAAAACATGCTTCTAAACATTTTTTTTTAATAAATAATGCCATAAATATATGACAATTCGAAAAAACTTTGATTTATATTTCTTCACCTATTCTTCATATAATTTGTCAGTAAAATAACCAATTTATTGTCGTTTGAAATCATGATTTTTTGTTTCTGTCTTTTGATACTAAAATATTTTCATACGATGAAAACGTTTTTTGTGTTGATTTATCAATTCACACTTGAATATGATGCATATTCACCTATATATCATTCAATATGTTAGTCAAACATGAATGATAAAAAAACAGCATGTAACGACGTACACAACGTGGCATATGCACGCAACGTTTTACTGTCATATGGCGTGTATGTGAACGCGTCATAGAATGAAGTATATTTACATTTACCGCGGATTATTTTGTTGTATGTGGAGACATGTTAATGCTTTTTTTTAAAATTCTTGTATGCTCATGCATGAAAATGCTTTAAAAAGACGAAGCACATAGCAATCGCTTCCTGATATAAGCTCCAAACATACTTACTTTGTTTATAAGGCGAATGTTTCCACCATTCGTTGATCTACTAACATTGGTGGTACAAGTAAAACTAGAGAATATTATAACCACCTGTGGATGGTACGACATACGTACATATGACTAATAATAACTATTGAAAAATTCGAAAAAATGAGCAAATTTTTTGAATCAATATAGGGTGATTATTCAAGAGTAAATTGATTTTTAACATGAAATAAATTATCACACGTAGGACAGAAAATTAAAGTCTTGCATGTGACAGCATTATGGGAGTAAAAGCGAAAATCTTCTTACTTCATCGTATTCTAAGGGTATATCAAAACTGTTCCTCTGAAATTTCTTAGCTATGGTCAAGTCTACTATCAACATGTGTCATGAGCATATTGGTTTGAGTTCGTTTTATTTAAGCATTGTCTAGCAATAAAGTCCAAATACTCCATCATATTTCAAGAATTGAGTATCAATGAAGTAAGATGGAATATTCAGACTTTATTGATGATGTTTTTTCTTGCGTGTGTTTGCGACGTGTATCTTTTTGTAGGTACTATTGTCCTGCATTTCTGCGCAACAATTACGAATACTTAAAATAACTTGCAGGTTTGTACATAATATGTAATAAATAAAAAACTATCTTGCAAGTAAACGTGATGTCACTGGCAAAATTTTTGTTACTTAGCAACGTCATTTTTATTTTTAAAAGTCAACAATCAAAGTTTGGACATATTGTTAATAAGATTCATAAGATGTGTTGAATTTTAAATCTTAATAAAAAAAACTTTATATTATGATATTATTTTCAATACTCCTCCATGTCTCTTGTTCTCAATATAGATATTAAAATAGTTACAGAATCTTTGAATCATTATACGTGGTAAGAGTAAAGCAAATCAATGATAAGTTTTATCGGCTTTGATAAGCTATATTATCTATCAAAAGAGCGGTCAAAATCTGTTCATACAGTTTGTTACTCAAAATGCCTAATGATTTATTTGAGTCTGTGACAATTGCACATGTTCTTTTTCAGGAAGATAATTACATAAAAAGACTTGAATATATTTATGTACAATTTTCGCACTACTCTTCAAACAATAATTCACTCGTTTTATAATTCAAACATTATATATATTAAACTAACTGATAATACTATAACATAAGACAACACATTCTAAATTCGTTTTTTAATGTTATACAAATGTTATAACGGTAAATTTTATGGAAACTTCATGTATTTGCGAAGTAAATGACGATGATCCTTAAGTTTCTACTAAATATGCATGATTGACATCAGTTGATATGGACTACCACTTGTTGTTTTACCAAAACCAACACCGATATATTCAGCAACACTTACATTCAATTGGAAAGGACGCAATGTATACTGTTGAATTGTTTTATTTGTACCGATTTGATCAATCGATACAGTATACATGGAATGTGATATATAGTACGATCCAATACCAGTATATCCATAGAACCGATGAGACTGATGTTGATAAAGTGCAAAATTTGATTGAAACATTACTGATAAAGTCAGCAAGACTTACAGGTTCATTTGTGTTGAAAACAAGATAATTATTGTGATTATCATTCACACCATTATTAGTTACACTTCCATAAGTTTTAGCTACTGTAAAGAAAAAAAATTCAATAAATGTTTAATAAAAAACACAAATATTATATGCGTGATTTACTGAAATTAGGTTTTTGTATAATTTCTGCAGAACATTCTACAAAACAAAATTCAGTAAAATTTAAACTAAGTGATCTTTCGAATTTTTTTGTATCAAAAGAAATATGTATTGATTAAATCAAATACATGCAGTAAATGATGGACCAATGGGCATTTATTATGTAGAAAGCAATTTGCTCAATCATCATTGAATCGGTTTTCCTCCCTATTCTTTTATATATGTAGCAATTTTAACAAGTAAAAATATTTTGAAACATCGAGATATCATATATTACCAGGTGCCCGATCTAGTTGCAGGACACTAGTCCTTGATGAGGCGCGTATTTTAAGAAAAGGATGGACGGAGCAATGACGAAACTGTTTTTTTCAGCTGCTTCGTGGATCTCTGACATGTAATGAGTTTATTGGATAATTTCTAAGAATAAATACGATATATATAAGAATATTATGTATACAAAACCAAAGTGACATTGAAAGACTCTATTTTTTTCGAACAATTATCCACAATCAATTTGTTAATATAAGCAAAATAAGAATTTGAACGAATCGAAAATTCATGAAACAATTGATATAAAGAGAGAGAGAGAGAGAGAGAGAGAGAGAGAGAGAGGCAAAGATATCATTCAGTTTGTATAGATTAACAACTGTGTTGAAGAAGTATTTTTGCCGCAGTACATTTGTTGTAGATACATATAGATTTAATCAATAGATATCAACAATCATTTGATTGTAATCTTTTGTTTTTGTCGTTCTATTTTCTAAAAAAAATATTCTTTTCTCTACAAAAAGAAAAAATAAATGTCGATCTAACCGGGTCTATTTAACTTTATGAAATAGTCTTGTATTTTGATTATTTTATCATCTTCAAAACTCAGGTCTTTTCTCAACACAATCGAATGATGCTATTTTTCTGTAATATAATATTAAAAGTATTAATATTTCTGGAAATTTATGACATGTAATAATTAATAATTGTCAATGAATCCATATGTTTTACTAGTCAAAAATCATAGATGATGATATGTCATCAAAAATGTCATGAAAGTTTTTATTATTATTTCAACATTTATTGATATACCTTGAAGTATATTGGAAAAAACATTGCTGACGTACTATTCATCTATGATTGATAAGAAAAAAAAATAAATCCTTTCTTTGCTTATAAATATATGAAAAGTTTGATATAAATCATATTCTTTATATCGACAACAAAAAGAATTCAACACAATAATGCATGTATCTGATGCTATTATTGGTATGAGATAATATAATAATAGACATAATTCATTGATTTTTCTTTATAGGTTTACTTCTAAGTTTAATCTTCTGCAATTGTGAGAATGATCTTTCTTCAGTTGATACGACTGCATTTATTGCATCAAGAATTTCTATAGATCTCTCTCCATCAAATGTAACTAACTTGAATGAAACTGAGCCGACTTTAAATAATACTGATACATCTAATTGGATTGAAATTGTTGCTACTACAGCAACTTCGACTGAAAATGTTACGACGACATCGACTACAACTGTTATCATCACATCTACTTCGGCTAGAATCAGTATAATATTATCTAAAATGTAATTCATTATATAGTAATTATTTGTATTATTTTCAGATGAGACAGCGCACTCTAAAACACCATCCGTAATGAATACAACATCGACGCCTCCTCAAAACACAGTTAAACCTACAACTCCTTCAGGTTAGTTATAAATTAATTGATCTTTTAATTAAACTTATAAGATTTCTTTTTTAGCAAAGCCGAATTTAGGTCTTATTCTTGGTCTTTCGCTTGGTCTTGGATTACCATTCCTGATTGGTATAAGCATTGCTATTGTTTGGTTTCGGAAAAATCTAATTTCAAGTTGCCGTACATCCCTGAATTCTTTTTCCTAATTCAATGGAAATATATTGGTGATGAAATTAACAATAGTATTTGAGAAATTTGAATAAGATTTTTATTTATTGGCTTATTTGTTTGCTATTGGTCTCTGATTATCTGTAAAAATACGTCAGAATCGACTTTAAAAGCTTAGATGTCTCTTAAAAATAACTAATAAATTGACTTAGTTAACTCTAAAATTTTAAAATCAATTCTAACAATCATTTACATATTTATGAAAGGTTTTTTTTTATATTGAAAAGGTAAGAGACTTTTGTATTCAGCATGCATTATTAAATATATTTATATCAATAATAACTCCTGAATGTGTTGATTAATATATTAAAGAATACCAATGCGATATAATGAACTTTTGAGAAATGTTTTTTTTTTGCAGAAAATCAATTTGATGATGAACTAAATTTATAATTCTTGAAACCACATTTAATCTTTATTATGAAATATTGAGTAAAAATCTCATATTTTTGAATGAGTATTAACAAGAACAAATAAAATCCCTTGCTCTATCAACATAACATTTAAGTCACGTTCTTAAGGTTGTCAACATATTTATTATATTTCTTTTCGTATGTGTGTATAGCATCGACGTCAATTGTAAGCATCCAGACATCTACTATTTTTCTTTATGCATGCCCGATATTATTAATTAATACAACGATTTATTCAGTTGAAAAAGATGATGTGTATGACATCATAGAGAATATTTGCAAAAAGTTAAAATTCTAATCTTTATCATTTGATGCAAAATTTGTTGAATGAGTCATCTGGTCAAAATATTAATCAAAGATATTTATGCGTAAATTGAAGTGAATGAGTAAAATGATTATGATATTGATATTCTTTACCTAAGTAAGGAGCGTGAAAAAAAACAATAAGTCTAAAATATTACACATTTTTAATCAATGATTAATTTTAATTGAGTCTTGTTTTATTTTTTCATAATTTTGCCGTAATTTGTAAAGGTTGTGACAGAATATTTTGTTGATATCTCAGCTGATTTCTATCGCTTAGATTATTTTCTTTCCTCAAAAGATTCGCTGTGTAATTCTGAACAAAATCGTATAACTGATTCAACTAATAGATTTTTTCTCTCTTTCGAGAACACAACTTATTTTAACAATAAGCTTATATACAACTTTCCAAATCTGTAATTTTTTTTCTTACAGAAAGCATTTTTATTTTTAAAATATTGTAACTTTCGTTATGATACATTTTAGTGATTAATTGATTTTAAATAATGATTTGCAGTACACTAGTAATGTTAATAAACTGTATATGTGTTGTAAAACAATCGCCACAATAGTAATAAATACCTCCATTCACATGACTATTTTGATTCGTATCAGCATTTATAAAAACGGAAAAGATTGAAAATAAATCTGGCTGAATAATTTTGGGAGCTATTATAAAAGTTATCTCTTAAATAAACCTCTATCAATTCATAATATCATTTTTTTTTTCAGTGATATACAAAACAAATTTTAAAATGAAGAAATGATCCAATCAGCTAAAATTCTATTTCCTGATAAATAAATATTTCTTATAGAATTTGACAATTTGTAAAATATCATATTACGTATAACATCTATATTCTATATAGCATACATATATATATCAATGAACATCTTAAAAAGCTTATTTTGCTCAGTTCATATATACTTTTCTATTTAATAAGTTTCGATTATTATGCTTACATTTTCATCCGAGACACTTTAAAATGCTAAGTAATATGAAGAAGAAAAAAAATGTAAAAGTATGTAATAATCATTTAAAACAACTTTTCCTGTTCGAAACTTTGAAAAATTTAAGTATCACTATTTTTTGAAACATTCTGACATAGTTTGATTTTATTATTTCAGTATTTTTAAAACTAGATTTATTGCAAATATATAAAAACAAGTTAATATTGTGGAAACATTGTAAAATACTATTCCCTAATATGATAAGTAATGAAACATATATTTTCATGGTAGAGAGAGAGAGAAAAAAATATTTTTGAATTGTTATTAAAATCAACTGAGTAACAATGCTGACAAGCAGTGAAAGTCTTACTGCATTGAAACCACTTCGAATAGCTTTTTATAAAAATGTGAGTAACATTTCAAAATAAATTTATTATAATTAACTGAAAAAACAATTTATCTATCACGATATTTATAGGACAAAGGTACGGCACCATCTCGAACTATTGAAACAGTAAGAAACAATCAATTTCATTCGTTTCGAAATCAATCATCGCCTAATACAAGACTAAGTACACTTCGAGATATTGATACGTCAACAGACTATCTTAGAGAAGCACCGAGTAAATATAAGTAGATCATGTATATTGTTATGTATTATAATTTAAAAAATAACATTGACATTTTAGTTTTTGTTATCAGATGAAAAACATGTGCGCTGCTAGCATTGGTTGCATTACTTCTATTACTTGCTATTAGTATATTCGCTATGTTTATTGCTACTCTTGTTCTATTAACTAAACCGACTATAACAAGTTAGTAAATGAATTTTTCTCTAAAGTAATATATAAACTCATATAAGAGACAAAAATACGAATGAAATTTATCATAACATATTTGGAAATTTTGTAATTTAATTTTTATACTAATCGAATTGTTTCTAGCAATGACTATTGAAGCTACAGAGATCTGATGCTTGTGACGTATTTCAATTTTCAATAGGCTTTTCTGATTTTTTTAAACCTAATTTTCTCAAGTTTCACTACAAATACAACATTTCTAAAAGTAGCTCGACAAACTCTATCTAACCATGAGAAAAAAAAGGCTAGAAAAATGACACTCAAAATGTTGAATTATCGACATCTTTCAAATAAATTTATTTAGTTAAATGTGTTTCACCTTACGTGCAAGCACCTTCCGGGACTTGTATTAATATATTAATCGATTTTAACAATTGTGGTAAGATTAATAACGTATGTCCATCAACTTACACAAGTTGTTCAGCTGATCTATGTAGTACTCTGTCAAGTATCAAACTAGTTAATGGAATAGGCATATGAGCAGCTTCTGTCAATGGATCAATCGATGATAAATATTTTACTATAACAATACCATTTAATATTACTCTTTATAATACGACGACAACTTCTGTCACTATAACAATTAATGGTGTATGTTTTATTTCGATTATATACGTTTTCGAATATTTATTTAATGTTTAACAGGTGATTTGTCTTCGAAGCTGTTCGACTACTTTTATTGAAACTGCTTTTCCTACTAGTGCATTTTCTGATGCAACAATTCTAACATATTGGAATGATCTGTACATTTATGCAAATGCATCACAAGGTATATACTATAAAAAGCAAGGCAATACTCCAAAACGAAATTTTATCACTGAATATCACTGTAGCCATTATCAACAATCTACTGATTATTATAATTTTCAAGTCATATTCTTTGAAAATATGCCTGGCGTTGTTCAATTTATTTATTATGAGGTTATTGATGAAGGTGCTTCAGCTACTGTTGATGTACAAGGTAACGAAGCAAAACAATAGACATTTATTTATTGATATATAAATCATTCTGATATCCTAGATTCGAAGAGTAGTCCATTTGTGCAATATTCCTTCGATCAAGCTAATTCCGTGACACAAAATATGATTCTCACATTTGATACAAATACTGAAACATACAGTAGTCCAAGCATTGGATAGAAATAGATGATAGTTAAAGAATGTTAATTTCGAAATTTTTTTCTTATTCGAATTACATTGGAACATGAAAGATTTCAGCACAACAGCACTGTTGACTGATATTTAGTGTAGATATGTAAACTATCAGAAAATTTGAATTAGGACTAAGATTCGAATTCTTGTTCCTAATATTTAAACAAAAAATATTAATTTCATACCTTGTTTTTAATTATTTTTGCAGAATAATTTACATTAAAAAAACAATCATTGATGAAATATTAATAGTTCGATAATAGTATCATATCAGCTTAAGCCTTGCATATTAAAATATTTTACGCGTATATCTATGTGTGCGTGTATTTGATAGGTAAAAACAATAAACTGGTTTGTACAAGCAAATACAACGCATCCTATGACACGTTTATGTGCATGACTTGTTGTGAAAAATAATGATAGTTATATTTGTCACTTCATGAGTTTGAAAAAAATTGATTGTTTTATTAAATACTTATCACGTTCATAAACAAACGATGTTTTATTATAAATTATAAGCATCAAAACCTGGAATGTTTTCTAAAACATGGATTAAAGCATCTGTTTCATCTTCTAAATTTCTTTCATTTATGACTTCATTCATTGATATATGTGCAGTGAATACCAAAATTATTCACTCAGGTTTATTTTCAATTTTTTTTTCGCTGCCGTAAGCGTTAGAAAGAATTCAAATAGTGATTCGAATAGAGAAAATGATTTCCAACAAGAGTATAAGAAAATATAAATTATTATCAAATTTGCCAAGATAGGAATTCCAGAAAACAAAAACTTAAGTTTTTCAACATCTAGGACGTGTAAATATAATTTTGTTTAGACTACATAGAACAATAGAGTAAATCATCCTCTACAAAATGAGATATCGCCGAGTTCTCTGTGACGTCTTGTTGACTGAGATATAGCAATTTGATTGAAGGTTAAAAATGGTTTTTCTATAGGAAATTGGAAGAAAAATGATTTTAGGGACTTCCATATGATTGCTGTATCTTAGTTAGGAAACGTTGCAGAGAACTCTGAAATATCTCATTTTGTAGAAAACTATGAAGTCCTTGACGATAATAAGTTTTATTATAGCTGATTTTGACTATACCTAACTCAATACACATATTCATTTTTTAAGAGATTAAATTTCAGGTACAATAAAAATATATTGCGCACAATTTGTGGCATAGAAACCAAGACAATAGATTTGATGCATCATTCAGAATTATCTAAAAGTTTTATAGCAATCAGAAAATACAATTGTGCCTTTCTGCTCCATTTCTCGTGGAACAATCGTTGTATACTTACAAATAACTTTTACGAGTTCGGAATGAAGCCAGTTGTGCATTGGAATCATTTAATTAAGAACAAAACATATTCATTTTCACATATCTATTATTTTTGCTGATCAGGAGTTTGAAATAATTCTCTATTCCATTATTTTGAATAGACAAGACAAACTTTTGATCTAGAGATCCAATCAGGCTGAATTTTTGCAAGTCTGGTCTGTCTATTTTTTTTAATACCAATAGCATGATAGTAATAGAACATAATTAAGTTTTGATCTTCACAGAAAGTTCAACAACTCACGAGAATCAATACAGATGACTACAGTTAAAATTTTCTAATGTAAACATCAAATCATTAATAATTCGGAGAAATGATGTGCCTTTCGACAAATATCACTGATAACATTATGATGACATAAAGATTCACGTTTGTTAACATTGAATTCAATATTGGTTGTAAAGCCAATGAAACCAGTGAATGTACTTTCGATAGAAAAATCTTACCGTTAACGTAAGATACGCGCATGAGCTAGTAAAAGTGTATAGAGTGTACTACAAATAAGCTTTGTTTGACGAGAATTTCCTTAACTGCTGTAGAATATTTGTATAGATATTTCTATAACTGATTAAAATTAGAATATGTTTATACTGATTTCAAAATTCTTAAATAACGACTAGAGGATGTTCAACGGCGATACGTTGCGAGTGAGTCTTTTAACTTCCAGATGAGGATCTCATGAATACCGTTGAATTTACCCTACGATCAAAACATTCTGACATCTATAATCGTACCTAAACATCTGTACCCTTATCGAAGTGTGATATTCTCACTCTCACTTTTCCTTTCGAGTACCATCATCTTTGTTCTGCATGAAACTTGTTCAGATTCTCTAAATGAAAATTTGCTGCGACATCAATACATATACATTCTTTTCGTTATCATCTTATATTGTTTGAATGAAACACAAGCTGAAACTTAAGAAAAAATGAATATAGGATTATTGTCTTATTTTTTTCAGTGAATTTTGTAAGAAAAAAAAACATGTTTTTCACATTTTCTAAGAAAATGCTCTTTATTTGACCTTTCGCTAAAAGAAAATGATACTATACTGAACAATTTTTAAAAAATCGTTTTGAAACACTATGAATGAGAAATGTAATCAAAAAAATAATATATAATATATTCGAATATGCAATAACAATCGAATTGAACAGCAGTTTTAAGAAATTTTAAAGACGAATATCGATACTTTCAGCAGACATAAATTGATCTGAATCCAACTTGTCTAAAGTGCATGTCGAAACTGTACAATCTATAACAGATACTAAAAGAAAAACACAAATGATTTTTTTTCTTGTGAAAACTTGTTCTTTACGGATATTCTGATATAGAATTCTCATTTATGATCCATCATACTTTTAAAATATATTGTCATTATTAACAAAGAATTAGTTTTTTTTTCAACAACAATTTGAATTTTCATACTATGCTCAGCCACTTTTTTGTAGTGAACTCGATGGTCAACATTGCGGATTTTATTTTCTCTCAAAAAAATATGAGACTCTATTTTAAATTTGTCTTTTATTGATCGTTATGCTTGACGGAATTATTTTAAAAAAATACTACCAAACTTCTCAGTCGAATTTCAATAAAATAAATCTTCCTTATATGAAACACAATGAAAATAATTCATATTGAATAATACATACCTTGATTGACAGTCGCAGTATTCAAATTGGATTGAGATGAAACAGAAGGAGTCTCTGTTAATGTATTATCATCATTTATATCATAACCAGCTAGACGAACAAATATTTGCTCAAGTGTTGCTTGAGTTACTGAGTAATTTTCAATAATATTTTGTTCTTTTTTTGTATTGAGTATTTCAAATATAAGAGATAAATTCGATGAAAATGGTGCACTTTCTATATTGTTTGACGGCGATGATGAAAATGGTACATTACAAAAAAGTACACCATTTTGTTCATCTATTCAGTTAATTGAAGATAAAAAGACAATGATATATAATATATAATAATACCTTCGATTTCGATTCCTGGCAAACTTGTAGCGAGTTCCTGTTGAAATTCGTTCATTTTCTCACGAGATACTTTGACTTGTACTGAATAGCCTTTACCAAAACGATTTTTTAAATGTTGAAGATTACCGAGACAAATAAATTGACCCGATTTCATAATGCCAATTTCTGTATATAAGAAAGTATAACATTTGTAAATAGGTCAAACATGTTTTTTCGAAAAAAAAAACTCACTTGTACACAATGCTTCACATTCTTCCATGCTGAAAAATCAACGAAATGTAGAAAGATTTCCTAACGATCATTCTTCTACCTGTGACTGGTCATAATTATTGTTAAACCAGCATCACGAGCTGCTCGAATCGCACTCCATAGTTTGCGTTTCGCACCAGCATCCAAACCCTATAGTTCATCAAATAGAATCTTTTATGCATATAAAACTAGCGAAACAAGATCTTCCAGTGTGTACCGTAGTGGACAAGGTATCGTTTCAAAATCCAAAAAGAAAAGAGAGATTAGTAGCTATGTACATTGCTCATCAATATGTTTGTTGAACATGAATGTACAAAATCAATAGAAACAATATAGCATAATAGGTCAGTATCTCTTATTAATTCACAATGAAAGGATATTTCGAAATATTCAACTGGATTAATGGTTTTACCCTGGAAACGGCTGATCAGTATATTCTGGTTTTTCTACATATTCATTTAAATCTTGATAAACTATAATAGGAATATTATGTCGTTGCCAGTACTCTAATGAATGATGAATCATTGGTGATCATATAATTTTTTTAAATGATTTTTTTTTCTTAATTTTTATACCCCTTCATTTTTCTTTTCCATATATTTGTATGACAAAATATCATTTGATTATAAAACTAGCAGATTGATGATGAAGAATATTTAACATAAGATAGCATAGGTTCAAAACTAATGTTGTCAAATATCTAAATTGAATTGGATAGTAACACTTCAAATTTTTTCAGTGTTCCTGACAGCGTGAGATATCTCTTTTGTAATATCAGCCCTATAGACAAGGGCGAAACGACGTACTCCCGTAGTCTCTGAAGTACATGAAATGCGGGAGTAAGTCGGTTTTCCCTTGCTTATAGATCACTGATCGGCTTCATCAAAGTTATAACATTTCTCAATGAATTTCTATAGACACTTCAGGCTGAAAAAAGAATTTTCTCATACATTGAAACAATTCCATATTCTTTTTTTAGGGCTAGCTAAGCCCATTTGATCTTTTTTATGTGGAACATAACAATATTAGTACCTACTTCGTCGTTTTCTTTTCTTTTCTATTATTCTTACCGTAGTTGGTTCATCCAAAAAGACCAACGATGGATTAGCCATGAATGCTACAGCAGCACTCACCTTTCGTTTGTTGCCACCACTGAAAATTTTTCTCTAGAAAATAATAGCATATCTTTGAAGATGTAATACTCACCTAAGGTTTTTCACTTCGCGATTTCGATAAGGTTCAAGATCAA